TAACTGGTCTGGAACTTGTTATACAGACCAGGCTAGCTTTAAATGCATGATAATCCTCCTGCCTCTGTCTCCCAATCTGGGATTGTAAGTGTGCACCACCATGTTCCATTTGCCAACCGTTGTTTGAGCCTCGCTTTCCTTACCTGTCATAGAGACGGGAGTGCTTCCTTGCAAATGGTGATATTTTCGGAATGCATCAGGGTGCAGTTAAGCTTTTAGTACAGAGCCTGGCTCATGGCAAATACTTACTGAGCATGGATATTCTTTTTATCATGTAATAGGTACTTTAGCTTTTAAATGTCTTGAAGAAAGGTTACTGAAAAGAGCATGCTAGATGAATTCCTTACCACAGACTTCGTGTTGCAATCGCATAAGAAAAGATGGAGTCTGGAGTCATGCTAGCTAACCTGAAGCTTGTGGGAGCTGGTGCGGTAGTCCTCAGTTCCTAACTAGCAGATGCAGTGTGCTAAGGTGGGTCAGGCTGAGGGGCCCCAAGGACCAGCGTCCTGGTCCCCTGCCACACAGCCCACTTGCTCCCTTTTCAGGGACCACGTAGTCCCTGCCCAATTTAAAGTTCAACTCTACAAGTTCACAAACTTTCAGGTTTGCCCGTTGAGGGACTCGGGCTCCTGGGACTCCAGGTTCCTTGCCCTGTCCCAGAAGGTCCCTGTGGATGTGAGGTGGACAGAGAAGGTCGTACCTTGTTGTAGCCTTGCCCCTCGCATGCCACAGGCTCTGGGGCAGGGGTGGTCCTTTCCTAGGCCTGGGTGCCTATACTGGAAAATGAGTTTTCTTCTTTCATGATTGCTGTGTGGTCTTGGATCTATTCATTCATCCATCCACCCAACTTTGAGGAAGGCTACTTTCTGGAGGTGTATGAGACCCCTCCAGGTGCATGTAAGGGGTGTTTTAAATACTTACTTACTCCAGGCAGGAGAATTTTTACAGGTTTTCCCCTTCCCTTCCTGGCCTTTTAAAATAGAGACACCCTTCACCATTTAGATACTAAAATACAGTTGTAAATAAGACAGTAGAATTTATAATTTCTCATATTAGGCCATGGTACATCTTCTGGAATTTTATCAGGAATACATGTCAAAATGATGGCTAGCCCTGATTTTCTATCTGCCTCAGGAATGGTCTAGGCCTGTTTGCTGCCTGGGAGATGCTTAAACGTAACAGGTCTGAGACCAGGGTCAGTGTCTCCTCAGCTTCCCGCTGCTGCACTTACTCCCTGTGCCACAGTCGATGGCACCTCTACCCAGCCAGGAACTCCCCCGAAGCCCACAGTCTCCCCTCTCCCTCACCTGTCTCTGCAGTGCCAGTTAGTAACGGTGAATCACACATATTCCCATGTATTTCCTCCTCCTAAATACTTTACTCATGCCTGTCAATATTCCCAACTCTTCTCCACCTCCTTTTCTCTCTGCTCCCACGGCTGAGGCTGCATCACCAGCTTCCTCACTCTGCCCCCCCCCCCCCCAGAGCCCATCTACCGGGGAGCAAGGTAACCTCCCGCTCCATAAAAAGAACACCGTCATTTCTCAGATCTATTTATTTAGAAATTGTGAACAATATTGAAAAGGCCAAGAGAACAGTAGTTATCTGTAACCCCATAGCCCGGGGAGGAGGCAGCTCTATTAACATCTCATCGCAGTTTTCCGGAATTTTCTACAGACTTAATCATATAACCATGAGACAAATAATTAAAAAATAAGATTAGGGAGGCACTGAATGCAATGTTTCCTGATCTGTCTTTTCCCCCTCCTGTTGATTACATCGTGATAATTTCCTGTCATCTAGTATTTCTCAAAAAGTGTCTCCTTGCATCTGTGTTGCAGTCTGCCATTGGACTCCACCTGGATTTATTTAAACATTCTTTTCCAATTGGACATCAAGATTGCAACATTTTTTTGTATGGTGGACTAATGTGTTTTGTGCTGTAATTAATATTCTTATATATTAATTAATATTCTTATATATAAATTTTTAACTGTGTCCTGGTCTCTCTCTCTCTCTCTCTCTCTGTCTCTCTCTCTCTCTTCCTCTCTCTCTCTCTGTCTCTCTCTCTCTCTCTCTCTCTTTCTCTGTGTGTGCAGGCATCTCAAGTAGCCCAGACCTATCTCAAACTTGCTATATGGTTGAGAAGTGCCTTTAACTTCGGATCTTTCTGTCTCCATCTCCTAAGGGCTAAGATTACAGGCATGCGCCGTCATGCCCTTTCATGTACCCTTCATTTTTTCCCCTTAAACTAGATTCCTAAAAATGGCAGTGCAGAATTAAAAGATCTGGAAGTTTTTAAGGTCCCTGGTTCATCTTCCCACTTGCTATAAAAAAGTTCATATTGATTTATTATCACTTCCCACTCCTTACTTTGCAATAGGCACACGATCAGGAAAAGCTGATTCACTAAGTGTGTAAGGGAAGATGGCATCCTGTTAGTGACTGAATTAAAAGTCGTATGACCTGACTGCTGCCAGCCCCCACCCCACTCATGCATGCTCAGGAGGTATTCAGGAGCAGTGGTAACTTTTGGGCCTCTGCTAACATCAGCTGCAGTTGGGAGATGTAGCCCAGCATTACAAGTAGTGGCTTGAGAAGATCTCTGCCTAGGAACCTCTACTTGGGTAAAATCGAGTCCTTGGTTCACCACAGGAAAAATATTTCATCAAGAGTCAAAGAGACACAGAGGAAAAAGGCATACAGCTAAGGTGGGTGCTAACTAAAGAGAGGGGAAGCTGTACTTAGGTGTCTTTACAAGGACACACAAATATCTGTCATGTAATTTATAGCTGGGCATAATAGCACATGCCTTTAATCCCATCACTCAGGAAGCAGAGGCAGTCAGCTCACTATGAGTTTGAGGCCAGCCTGGTCTGCATAGGGAGTTCTAGGCCATCCAAGAGCTACATAAGACCTTGTCTCAAAAATAAATAAATAAATAAATAAATAAAACAAATAATGTAATTTATAAAACTTATAGATTAAGCAAAATTTGAAAAAATGTTTATCTTTATGTGTATGAATGTTTGTCTGCCTATCTGTATGTGCACCACATGTGTGCAGGGTCCATGGAGGTCAGAAAAGGGCACTGGAACCCCTGGACCTGGAGTTACACACAGCTGTGAGCCGCAGTGTGGGTGTGGATCCCATGTAAACACAGTAAGTGCTCTTGACTGCTGGGCCATCCTTCTAGCTCTTATTTCTTATCTTCAAGTTTTTCTTTTGTAGATGAAATGGTAAGGTGTATTAGACGTAGAGACGAGAAGGGAATGCTAACATTTAAGTTCAAGGCACATCTGTTCTGGTCCTAAGTAAGCTGAGTTCTTGATTGTTCTATGGTCTTTCTTTCTTTCTTTCTTTCTTTCTTTCTTTCTTTCTTTCTTTCTTTCTTTCTTTCTTTCTTTCTTCCTTCCTTCCTTCCTTCCTTCCTTCCTCCCCCCCTCCTTCTTTCCTTCCTTTCTCTTTCTTTCTTTCTTTCTTTCTTTCTTTTTTCTTTTTTCTTTTTTCTTTTTTTTTTGGAGACAGGGGTTCTCTGTGTAACCACTCTCTCTATCCTGGAACTTGCTTTGTAGATCAGGCTGGCCTCAAACTCTCCAACTCTCAGAGATCACCTGCCTCTGCCTCCCAAGTGCTGGGATTAAAGATGTGCACCACCGCCGCTCAGTTTGGGCTCTTGACTGTTTTGAACATCCTGTTTGAGATGTCTTTAGAAAAATGGCCACTGCCTCATCAGCTATGTTCAAGTTTCCTGACTCTTGGCCAACTGGACACTCAAACTAGATCCCAGGAGGAGCAGCTTCTGTCCCTCGCCCTGCTCCTTAATTTCCTCTCTCTTTGTAGCCTGGCTCCCGGAGAGTCCCAAGGGAAGGAGACAGGCCCAATAGGGCAGCAGAAGCCTTGTGTGGGGCTGTGGTGGCCTGCAGCCAGCTGGCAGGAGGGCCGGACTGCTGCCTGGAGGGCACTGTGGTGCCGACGATGCCTGGCACTGAGGCCAGGGTGGGTGGAGAGTGGATGTCCTCAGTGACTCTGAAGCTTCGTGTGCTCTAAGCTCTCAGAAAGGAAAACTGGGGAGGCTGAGCAGCCAGCAGGGACAGCTAAGGAGAGCTCAGGGATGGGGTGAGGAAGGTACAGCAAGCACCCTCAGATGAGGCAGGAATACCGGAAGCTGCAGCTACTGTGGGGTGGGGTTGGAGAGGAATCCCAGCTTCAGGTTGCTCTGGGTGGTTGGTGTCCTGTGACCAGACAAGTCTGGGCTCTTGTATTTTTGAGCCTAATTTCTACCTCTCCTCTCGTCTCCCAGAGGACTGGGCCTTACCTAACCTCTGAGGACTTCATCTCTGTTCTGATTTGGGAAGGACCCTAAGCTATCATGTTCATGTACATTCTTCATAAAGGTGTTCAGGAGCCGGGCGGTGGTGGCGCACGCCTTTAATCCCAGCACTCGGGAGGCAGAGGCCGGCGGATCTTTGTGAGTTCGAGGCCAGCCTGGTCTACAAGAGCTAGCTCCAGGACAGGCTCCAAAGCTACAGAGAAACCCTGTCTTGAAAAACCAAAAAAACAAAACAAAACAAAACAAAACAAAAACAAAAACAACCCCTCCCCAAAACCCTCCCCTGATGCCCCATTGAAAGAGAGACTCAAGAGGGCAGTTCTAGTGATTAGTATTTATCTGTTTATTTGAGACTGGGTCTTACTATGTAGCACAGGCTGATATCAAGTTTACCATCCTCCTGCCTCCGCTTCACAAATGCTGGTATTATAGGTAGGAGCCACGGTACCTAGCCAAGGCTGAAGTCTTAAGATCAGCTGGGAGGCTACTATGGAGGCCCAGGGGCAGATGCTGGGCACTAGGACAGGGCAGGAGCAGAAGGCCCTAGGTCAGGATTAGAGGGACTTGGCGCTGTGTCCCCGGAGTGGAGGTCCCCATAGTTCTATGCTCGGCCTTGTGGCTGTGTTGGCATATGGTGACCCACTGTCCATGCAGAGCCCACCCTTCTTCACCTACAGGCCTGTCGACTGCCCCAAACTTTCCTGACAGCCTCCTTCACCTCCTTGTTCCTCAGGCTGTAGATGATGGGGTTCAGCATGGGGGTGACCACAGCGTAGAGGACTGTGAAGACCTGGTCAGAGATGTGGGCCTCCTTGCTCTTGGGTTTCATATACATGAAGATGATGGTGCTATAGAAAAGCAGGACCACAGCCAGGTGTGCTGAGCAGGTGGAGAAGGCTTTGCGGCGCCCGGCGGCTGAGGGCACTCTCAGGATGGTGGCCAGGATCAGCATGTAGGACAGGCAGATGAGGGTCAGGGGTACAGGCAGGAGGAGGATGGCGCCCACCAGCAGGAAAACATCGCTGACCGATGTGTCACCGCAGGCCAGCTTCAGCACAGCCAGGATCTCGCAGGTGAAGTGTCTGATCACGTGGTGGCCACAGAAGGGCAGCCTCATGGCAATGACGGTTTCTGTCACGGACTTAAAGAGGCAGAGTGCCCAGGAGGTACCTGCCAGCATCAGGCAGAGCCTCTGGCTCATGAGTACAGGGTACCTGAGTGGCTGGCAGATGGCCAGGTAGCGGTCATAGGCCATGATGGCAAGCAGCAGGCACTCTGTGGAGCCTGTAGAGAGGCTCAGACACATCTGGATGGCACAGCCAGTAAAGGAGATGGTCTTCCGGGACGACAGGAGGTGGACCAGCATCAGGGGCACGAAAGTAGATGTGTAGCAGATGTCCAGAATGGAAAGATTACCCAGAAAAAAGTACATGGGTGTGTGTAGGCGGGCATCCAGTGTGCTCACCGCCACAATGGCGCTGTTCCCCAGCAGGGTCACCAGGTACATGGATGAACACAGAGGAAAGAGTAGGTGCTCCAGGGCCGGGTAACCAGAAAATCCCTTCAAGATGAACTCGGAGACGGCTGTTCTGTTGCTGGGCTCCATACTGCGGGGTTCTGGCTGGATGCGCAGGGTGGTAAGACCACAGAGATTGTTAAGGTCTTTCCCAGATTGGACACACTTTCTGGGATGTTAGGACGGTCTCCACATCCTCTGTAGGCTCCAGGGCATCCATGTGAAACATGAGGATGATTTAGAGCAGAATCTATCAGATTCCCTACGACGGTGTTCACGGAAGCATGAATGGGCAGTCTGAAGAGTCACTGTGAGCCAATGCTGAATGAGGGATAACTTGTCAAAGCCTTTAAACGGCTAATGTTTATTGGCGGCTCTCCAAAAGCCAAGTAGATTATGTGCTCCCAAACTTATGTGACCCTAGATTCCTTTTCACCCTTTCACCTATCACAGACAAGTGATCTACAGAGTTTGGGAGCCGATGAACTGGGTTGGAGGTCCTTAAACTTGAACACACACTGGACTTTCTTGGAAGGCTGTCAAAACACAGCTCGCTTTCCTCCCAGAGTTTTTGGCTTAGGGGATCTGTTTGCTGCCACTGCTCTACTGGCCCAGGCACAGATGTCTCTGAAGGGTCCCCCTGGCTTTGCAGCAGCCTCTGAGTCATCGCTTACACCGTCCCCACTATCTGGAATGTCCTCATTTGTCCCTCTGCGGTAGTAGTCGGATTTGTCTCCCCACATCAGCTCTGGTCTCCACACTCTCTATGCTTTGCATCTCGGGTGCGTGGGTGGGTGGGGGCTGCTGCTGGCCTCTAAGCCTGTGAGTGGGCATCCATCCACACACAGAGATGCTCTGTCAGCCGCTCTGTGTGGGCTGAAGCCTCAGAAGTCACCTCTTTGTGAGCTCTCTGGTGGAAAGTCAAGGGGCCCTGGAACCCAGTCTCTAGTCTTATTTTCTCCCAGTCAGGACAAAGGATGTTTTGGCTTCCTAAGCTTCAAGGTTATTAGCACAGAAAGTGCCCTGACAAGCTCACTGGGGAGCTCTCTATGGCAGATGGGGAAACTGAGCTCACACAGTGCCTGCCAGGGAGGCGAGTCTCCAGGAGAGTCTGCCAGAATTGTGTCACCTCACCATATGGAGCAGACATTTGCCTTCAGCAAGCCCCAAACACCTGCTCTCCTAGTCGGACACCCTCCTGCTTCCTCCCCATAATCCTCTTACCAGCAAAAAAGCAGATTTTATCCCTTTCTCGGTGTCTCTGAGCACCTGGGGTGATGCCCCCATAACATGGAGCTTAGTGCCCAAATCCACCTCCTCTCTGAAGTTTCACCTGGAGACTGTCACTTCTTTTTACTTGCTTCTTATTTATTCTTCCCCAAACCAAGAAGTAACTTAGGACCTGCTACACACCAAACACTGTGCTAGCATTAGGGGGAGAAGTGAGGACACAGACTGAGTACTGACTCCAAACCCTTCCCAGGTAGAGTTCTCCACTCTCCTACGCCTGACTTTCCCTCTGTCTGCATGCCCTACATATAAACTTTTGATAATGGGGTGCTTGAAGGGTCTCTCTGGGTCTCTGACATACCTCATGTCAAGGCTAGGTAGCCCCAGTGGCTATTCCTTCTTCCTATTAGGTAGTAACATAGAGCCAAGACTTTAGTTCTACTCTGAGACCCATCTCTGGGAATCAAAGGCCGCTCAGCAGTCAGAAGAGCTCTGATCTAATCCTAGGGCTGCAGATAGAAGCTCTGGTCTCAACCTGACTGTGTCCACCGCACACGGGTTCAGGAGAACTATGAGCTGTGAGCTCCCCACCAAAACCCAGTAGGGATGCTCTGAGGCTGGTGTTTGGTGGGGGCATCTGTTCTAGCAGAGCACTTCAGAGGCAAGCCCTGGCACAAGGCACAGAGATGGTCCTGTCTTTTCCTGGAAGCTCCAGTGACCAGAGTAAGCCGTGGCTGACTCTTTGCATGGTTATACACACAGCAATTCACCACTTCAGTCACTAGGACACATCGGCACCTGAGGCTAAGGGCTCTGTGCACGCGGGGTCACCTCCTGTGCACACATTCAGGTAGGTGAACAAACACCTGTCTTGCACACTGGTACGTATGTACCTATGAGTGGTCATCCTACACATAGACTTATGTGCACATGTGACCATTCACATATTTATATCATTGTGTGTGCATAGGTCTCTCTCTCTCTTGTGCATGTACACACACACACACACACACACACACACACACACACACACACAGAGAGAGAGAGAGAGAGAGAGAGAGAGAGAGAGAGAGAGAGAGAGAGAGCACAGGACTGGCAGAGTCTTGGACCTATGACCAAAATGCTTTACTGAGCTAGGCAGGAGACCACAGCTTGGCAGGGGTAGCAGGGGAGTCATTAGGAAGGAGCAGCACTGAGGGTGGGGGTTACAAGGAAGCCTGGGACAAGTGGACAAAACTGTGTGTTCTGTCTGCTTCCCAGTCTGTGTGTCAAAGACGAGTCTCTGGCTCTGAGTTTTCTCCTGCACCTGGGGAAGAAAGGCGGGGGATACAGGCCAGGGAGCTTTGTCTGTAGAGCCCACAGGATCCTTTGTCTCCCCCTCTCTCCTGACCCACTGCTCCCTAAAACCCAGTTCACAAAGGAGCCTTCCCTTACCCCTCAAGCCAGACTGAGCTTTCCTGCTTCATATTGTTGCTCAGGGTGACAGCCACGTCTCTCACTCCTTGCCAGCTGCCCTCCCTGCCAGCCCACAGCAATGCCATCTCCTTTCTCCTTCTCTCTTAGATTCTGAAGGCCAAGGTGTGACTCTAAGTAACTTATTGCTGTCTTTCACAACTCCCTAGGACTAAGGAAAGTAGAATGGCAGCTGGTCAGTTATGGATGGCTTGCAGCCTAGGATAACACTCTTGCAGAACTTGGAAGGGGCTTACACATCAGCTGGAGCCTTATACTTAGGGAAACTGAGGCCCAGAGATGGGAAGTGGCACCGTGAATTAGAGTGGGAAGCCAGGGCCCTGGTGATTCCTCAGGGCCCTCCACCCTCCCTTCTGTCTGTGCGTTCCCTTTGTCACCTTACCTCCAACCTCCTCCCAGTCTGTGCTCTGGCTCCCTGGCAGAAGTTTCACTCCCGCCAACTTTCCAAACCATGGGAATGCTCCTAAGTTTTTGTGGAATTGATGAAGAGTTTTCCACTTGATAAGATCAAATGGACCATTTAGGATCTGACAGAATTATTTTCGGGGCTCAGAACTCAGCAGGGTTCTCCGAAGCAGGTAGAACTAGTCCATTCTGGCAGGCTCAAGGCTGAGTGGGTCTTAGTGGTTTTCTGTGGGCAGGACAGGTTCCCCATTCTGGGCAGTTGTTAGTGTCATCCCGACCAACAGCCTTCTAAGGGGCAGGTGGGCCAGATGGAGGAGGCACGGTTCAAAGCGCCTTGTGTACCAAGGGACTGCACAATTCCCAAGGCAACCTAGAGGGAGGAAAGGAAGCGGACCCAGCTAGCACACTTTGGGGTGCTTCAGGGATGATGTCCCAAAGACCCAATTACGCAGTCTAGTTAGAGAGTTTAATTAGTGTGAAAACGCTGGAGAAAGTGGCTCAGGGCTCAGGGCTCAGGGCTCCACACTTGCAGGGCAGTCCCCAGCCTGACCTGGACCAGGTCGGTTCAGGAACACTTAGGAGTAAATCAATCAATGAATGTATGCTTAATGAATGGCATGAATACAGAAACAATTTTATCCGTTTACAAATAAACCAAGGAACAAGTGAACAAAGGTTAAATGTTGCTGCTTTCTGGGTGGAGCGTGAGGGGTCTTGGCTCAATTCTCATCAGGAGTTTACAGAATCACAAAATCTGGAGTGTTGACTGGGGACTGGACAAGAATTCTAAGTTATCTGAACAAGCCAGTGCTCAATGACCACCTTGACCAAGACCCCCGTATGGACAGAGATTGCTGTGAGGGGTCTAGAATCAGCTCAGTGTCATCTGGTGAGGCAGGGGCACAGTCATGATTCCCTGTGTCGCTTCAGTCGCCTTGGTCAGTGCGTGGCTGCCCCAGGAGCTAGTGACCATTCTCCTCTGTCTCCACCTGGTCCCTCTGCCCTGTTCTCACAGCATCCCAGTGACGCTTCATTGCTGAAGTCCCCTCCAGTTCCCAGAGTCTAGACCCCAATGGCTTAAGGTCTCCTTAACCAGCATCATAAGGCGGGGGCGTAGCTCAAGGCATAGCTTAGTATACACAGGGTCTGGGGCTTGATTCCCAGCCTCAGAAAAAGAAACGAAACGAAACAAAAACAAAAACAATAACAAAGCAAGAAACCATAGTGTATTTTATTTTGGAACTGGGCTTTGGTTTGTTGTTGCTGGATTTCTGTTTAACCATTCTGAAACTTCAGGAGGTAGGCCTGTTGCTCACTCAGTAAAAGTGTTTGCCTAGCCGTGCATATAGCCCTGGATTCCATCCCCGCTATGATATAGGTTGGGCATGGTGGTACACACCCATGATCCTGACACTTTGGTAGGTGGAGGCAGGGGTATCAGATCTCTCTTTCCCTCCCTCCATCCCTCCCTCCTTCTTTCCCTCCCTCTCTCCCTCCCTCCTTTCCCCCTCTATATGTTTTGTCTCACCATGTTCCCAAATTATTAATATATTTTTAAAATATTTTTCCAATAACTTAATAAATTTTTGTTGCTCTTTTGAGGCAAAGTCTCACTCTGTAGCCCAGGCTAGCCTGAAACTCATGGCCTTTTTCATTCCTCAGGGTTTTCAAATTGTTTTTAACCTTGATTCTTATTTAGAATGTATCATCTCTGCATTGAGTAAAGTTAGGTGAGCTTATTTACTTCCCACAACAGGATTTATTATAAAGGCTGCCTTATCTTAGACCTAAAAATGCACTTCTGGGAAGTCTGAAGCCAACCTGTGCTATAGAGCAAGACCAAGTCTTTTTTTATTTTTTGGTAAAGATACCTTTGCCATATACTAATTTCGCAGGTACTTGTGTGTCTCTTCTGGACGTCTGCTCTAAGGACATGCCTCCCACTGTCCTCATGTCTCACTGTTTTAACTGCTGTGGTCAGC